GGCCACTGGTATTTTCCATCAAGAGCAGAAAAATGTGCTGCCGAGCGCATGTTGCAGCTTACCACAAGTAAGCCCGGAGGCCGCAGCCAAGGCAGCACAGGAGTCGGACGAAGACGCGGAGGACGGTAGTAGTATTAATTAAGGTGTTGCATGATAGAGACACATGGCACTGCCAGAAAATAGGGTTCCAGGTGTTTTCTGTTAACTACTTATCTTGGGCCAGGAGTATTACGGTGTAAGTTTCAGTGGCAACTGACACCCAATTAAACCGAGTCGACGGCACTTGGTCGGGCTTATGTTATCCCTCAGGCTCAGGACGATGGACACGATGGCGCCAAGAAGCCGAAAGTCATCCCAGAGGCGTTTGCTGCCGCGGTGTGATCAGTGCTTGATCACAGTGAACTTGCCTGCACGGTTCCCCTGCAGGTAGATGGCGAAGCCCTCATCAACAAGATGAATGCGTACCCAGGATCAGAATCCGACGAGCAGGAAAACTTCGGGACATGAGGCAGGATGAGATGATCAGCATGTCTGCCTTCTTGTTGCAGGAGGATGATGAACCTCCAGAGAGGCCAAAAATCCTAACCGACGAGCTGCCAAACGTCAGACCCCGTGATCGATACACTCGACCACTGTGGGAAGATCCCCCGCCGGTTGCCGCGATGCAACAAGTGACCAGAATCGAGAACCTGCAAGGGTTTGACCAGCTTGACTTGCGGCAGGCTCGGACTGCCCACTCAGGACCCAGATGTCCCGAAGCTCCTTGAGAGAGGCTTGCAGGCCTATCGCAGCTATGCCGAGACATTGCAGCAGCTGGGTCGACGCTTTTTTCTGGAAGTCTATATTCTACTCTTGGCAGACTTATCAGAGCTAAGGAAGTGAAGCTCCTGATACAAGAGTTTCAACTGGCGAAGATCAGCATTGAAAACCTTCAAAGCGCCCGCATGAAACCCAAGCTGCTGATGGAGCACTTTGGGCTGACTTTGGGTGAGGCCCGAGGGCCCGCAATGTGGTGCCTGCACAGCGTTTTGAAAGCTTCATCGTACGAATCCCTGCACGTTACGGCGCATGGGGTCTAGGACTCTAGGAGGGGCGGCAAGTCTCATGCTCTCCCTCCCTCTCGCCCTCCCGCTCTCTCGCTCTCCGTCTTTCTCTTAATGTCGCTTTTTCCTCTCCATCGTCGCAGAATCAACAGGCTGGGAGAGACAGAATGGCCCCTAAGAAAAAGAGCCGTTTGGCGCAAGTCGGCAAGTTGTGAAGGTCCTGGCCCTCCTCGGAGCCTTTCTAGAACAACGGACAGTGCTTCTGGGTGCCGCATGAGTTAGTGGAAGCGAAAGAGCAACAAGCCAACACCAGAAACAAGCCTGCACCAGCCTCGGAGCAGTTAGAGCAAAGGCACGAAGTGGCAGGCAGAGGAACCGGAGCTCCTAGCCGCAATTCCAAGTTCCGAAAGTTTGTGAAACACCTCGGAAGACAGAAGTCTCTTGGAGGCGAAGGCGAAGCCTTGGCTTGCGGCGCTAGCTGAGAAAATCATGTTCTCACTCTACCTCGCTCGAAATGTCGGCGGGGAGCGGAATGAAATAAACTGACGGGGTGTTCTTCCCTCAATGCGCAAGAAGTGCGACAAGAAGTGAAGAAACGATGGATAAACGGACAGATGGAAGCGGGTGGATAGTACAGATAAGCTTTTGCACGATCTTGTGCCGAGCCTGCCAATGTTTTCAGGCCACGGCATTGATCGACTTGGCCGTGCAGTCCTTAGTCCTCTGTTGACGAAACGTGGGCACGTTATAGTGTCGCGAGCAAAACAACAGAGGGGGAGTCGCTTCAACGAGTGCACTCTGGTCAGGACCCCAGGACGACTTTGGAGTGGCTTGGGCTTGCAAGATGGTAGAGATATTTCGAGCAAGCCCTCCTGCATTCCTACATCTTTTTCAACCCAGGCAAGCAGAAGCCATCATCGCCGGTGGATGCCGCAAGCGCAAGCTTGCGGTGCTACAGGTTCCTGAGCCCCGTGCGCAACCGGACCCAGAAAGCAGCCAAGAAGACGACACGGCAGGACGGGTGTCATGGTTGAGTTTTCAAATCATGAAAGAGCTCGGCCAATCATGGAAATGCAGGTTGGGAAAGATGGCTCCGGTTAGCATTCAAAGGGGCGATTGAGACTGTTGGATGGGAAGCAGCAGATGCTCGCTTGCTTGACAGGAGGTCACGCAGAGGCCACGCTGGTTATCCACAGGGCCAGGAGCAATCGATCGAGAAGCCTCAGGAGCCCTCCAATAGGCCGAGCAGCACGACGGCGAGCAATTTGGCAGACGGCTGTGCACAAAAGAAGCGAGGGCCGTGCGTGAGTGCTTGCAGCCGAGTATGAGGTGGCTAGTCTAGGGCCCCAAACGAATACACAATAATTAAGCAAAAACTAGGGTGGGGATTTTCCATATACACCCCTTATAAGGAAGCCCAACAAAGTAGGAATATCCTTGTTAAATGTCTATGCTTATGTCCCTTTGGGGGAACCTATAGCCGAAGTGGATGCATTGTTCTCGAGAGTAGCTTTTGGAAGGGATCATGCACGATTATGTACCGCAGGATGCCATTGCCATGTACCGGACCGTATCGTCGTGCAGCACAGCTTGCGCCTTTGGCAGGTTTTTTTTTCGACACGGGGACCTTGCCGTCACGTGGCCACTTGTTTGCAACAGTGGCAACAGTGCAGGGGCAGGAGTTTTTGAAGCTACCACGGTTTGCTAGTTGGAATCGGGGATCGCTTTCTTCAGCAGCCCAGACTGCCAGTGTTGTTGCTCGCAGGTTGATCGCCAGGGTCGGCGGATTTTGCATGATTGCGGCGAGGCTGCCCGGCACAAGATCTGGAATTCAGCGGATGTCCATGATGTGTGCATGTGGTCCCTTTGAACTGCACATACATGCTGTCACAAGGTTAGTTCGGGAAAGTTCAAGGGAGAATCCTTTCAGGCATTCCGCTTTCGTTCCCATGGAGTGGCATATGGATGGCATTGCTCCAGGTGCGGTTATTTGCTTCGCGGGCTGGTCATGGGCTGGATACTGCAGCTGTCGGCTTCTGTCAATTCGAGACGTGCTATGCAGGATCTCTGCCTCAGACGGAGGGCTGTTTGTGATCCCAGAGCCCCCGACGCGTGCAAACTTCCTACCAACCGGTTTAACCGTTCTGCGATGAAGCTGAGACACGCGCACACACACACACACACCCACACACCCCCACACACACACATGCTTTCAGATATCTTCAGATCTACCGGGGGCCAAAGTCGCGGCCAGCATCTAGGCTTGAGACCTTCTGTGCTGGGAGTGACTGGGTACAAGTAGAAGCCAGAAGGTTTTTGTATGTGATGCGAGAGGCCATGTGGTCGGAAGTCCTGTGAGGTTGTCTGTGAGGTTTTGCTGTGAGACGCCCGCCCTGGTCCCCTCCCCTTCTACCCCCAGGGCCGTCTGGGAGGTCTTGTAAGGTTTGCTGTGGGCGGCCCAGACCCTCGGCATCCGTGACGCTCCCCCGGTTTTTCACAACGTACTTCAGGCCCCAATCTTCTCTGAGACTGATACATCTCCACAGGACTTCGCAGGCATAATTACCTTCTCACCGATTTCTCACAATGTTCCTGAGATTCGGAGTTTTTCGCACAGATTTCTGACAAGCTTCCTCACAATAAACATACCGTCCTCTGAACACAGCTCACGCCTTCTTCGTCTGGTGCACCTTCTATCTGCCAGTTCTGCTATCTAGCGATCGGAGCAGTATGTTTATGTTTGAGTCGTAACAGCTCATTTGGGCTGCAAATCTCACCTGCCCCACCTCCGATCTTGATATTCTGGACACGAGGGTAGCATACACACTAGCGTACACGAGAGATGCCTTAAGAGCTACGAGAAGTCAAAATCATCATCGCTCCCACCGCCCATTCTCGTCCTTCTCTTGATCCGAAAATACATGAGTCTGGCGGAGAGGCGGGGACGGTTCGGGGTGGTCACCGTTGCAAAATTCGTGGCGCGGAAGCCCACCATGGCAGTTGGGCATATTTGGAGTCTTATCGAGGTGCTGGCTCGTCGCGGTTTGTCTTTGTTGCTGTTCAGTTGTCTGCGTGTCGAAAGAACTCACAACTGCCATTCAGTGGCTCCGGGGGTTGCAATCATTGTCAGTGCTTTGCGCAGTGTGCCAGGTCAGATGCCTGAAGCTTGTTGAACCTGAGATGCTCTGATCGCGGTCTGCTGGATGAGGCATGGCCCACGGCTGCCTGTCCGCCATGCTGCCAAGGCCTGCTGTTCTCGTACCTCCCTGGATGAGGTAGTAGCACTCTCTCTACGCACATTTGCTTTCTGACTTTGTGTCTTTGACTTCGAGGGGCATCCTGGCAAAGGACCCACTCCCTGCCGCGAGGGCATCGTCGCTCGGCCGAAGAAGAAGTCCTGGCAGTCATGTTCCGATCTCCGCGTCGCCGAACAGGATCACCCTCGAGTTCAATATTTGTACCGTTCAGCATTGGCAGCTATCTGCATGTCTGATTATGCCACACCGTGCCTCAGGCTTGGTCCATCCTTGTCCCGAATGGACTTCACTTCGTGAAGGTCTCTATTGCAGGCCTGTCTGCATCCAGCCAACTCGTCAGATTTGAGAATTATGGGATTCCCGCATGCAGTCAGCTTCGTCAGGCCTACCCTCCACCAAGAATGATGGGCTGCCGAGCTGCGTTGGAAATAAGTTTCGTTTTGACAAGTTTCGCGCGCGTGTTCCATGTGGAGTGCCGCTTCCAAGCGAAAGGTGCTCCCTGAATGGTCGTCGATTGCCTCAGCGATACAACGTCGACAGGCTGCTGCTTTGCCGTCTGCTCGAGTCGGCAACTGATAGGAAACGAGACGAAATGAAAGGAATGAAAGAAAAAACGACATGAAATCAATGGAATGATTGATTGACATGAAACGAAATGGAATGAATGAATGAATGAATGAATGAATGAATGAAATGAACGGATGGATGAATGATTGAATGAATGCAAGCATAACTGCATGGATGGATGGACGAATGAGCGAATGAATGGAATGGAATGACATGACATGAAATGAAATGAAATAAAATGAAAGTATGAAATGAGTGGATGAATGCATGCATGGATGAATGAATGATGGCATGGACTGCAACGGAATGGAATGGAATTGAATGCATGTCTGCATGCATGAATGACTGATTCAGGGGATAGGTTCATGAATGGAAAACGCATGAATGAATGGATGGTTGGATGGATGGATGGATGGACCGCTGGATGGACCGATGAAAGGACCGAACAAATGAACCAACGAATCAATGGATGAATGAATAAATAAGTTGAAACGGAATGAAGTGGATGACTGACCTGGATGAGTGCGCGGATGAAACAATGAATGAAAGAAAGAATGCATGACGCAATACCACATACAGAGGACTGTCCTGGTACCTCCATGTACCTTCAACGAAAACAGTGCTTCAGCACACCGAATTTAATACTGCCCAGTCAGGGCATGGCGGAAGCAAAGAGGAGCCTTCGACAATGCGGTGGAGGTGCATAGACCAGACGCACCGCTTCATGCAAAAGCCGCACACCGCAACCTCAGTGCCAGGCGGTCATCTTAGCAAGCATCTTGTCGGCAGCCATCAGTTCAAGAGTGGGCCAGCGGTTTACATGCACGCTTGCATGGTCATTCCACTGCGACCGACAGTGATAAAGCAGAACTGTCTCTAAGGAGTCATCACCTTGACCGTCGGACGCCGCTGCGCCGGGCCCGAGAAGCTGATGTTTTTGCAGATGTCCAGTCCAGGAAACCCATCCTGCCGGGGACCTACCTGAATTATTTGAGTGCTTCACAGGTCTTCACGTCGCTGCAGCGCCGTCGCTCCTGAGTTCCCCATCCGAGGTTGGACAGCTGGCCGGAGCTGGCACCGCTGCTGTGCAGTTGTGGACACAGGCTGCTTTGACACAGGCTCGCAGTGCTTAGGACTTGAAGCGCGTAACATGCTCGACTCTAGCACTCGCGGTCTTTCGCCGCTTCTGGCAGCGCGGGGATGGGTCGCAGCAGTTAGCTAGATAAGGAGGGGTGCGTCCTTGTGGTCGTGAAAAACTGCTAATTAATCCTTCCTATGCTGCTCATGGGTTGAAGTGTCGGGCTTTGCAAATGCAGTCCTTGCATCACCGCCGTGAAGTTGCACGTTTGCAGTCTGCCGGACAGTGCTCCTTACAAGGCACTGATCTGACCTTCGAAGCCTGCTGCCGCCAGACCTTCGAGTTCCAGGCGCGATGTGGCGCAAGGCTTCTTTCCAGCGTGCCCGGCACTTTTCGCCGGTTCACCTTGAGGCACCCGCAGCAGGTGTGGTGGCTGCGGTGCAGCTTAGGCCTGCTCCCTCAATTCCAAGGCTTTCAGCTTAACCAGCGTGTGATCAAGAGTTGTGCGTGTCAGGCCAAGTCACCTTCACCCAGCATCCGTTCTAGCCTTGGATCCAAAGGGCCGGCATTCCCCGAATGCGGGCACGGGACTCAAGGGACTGCTAGGTTTGCCGAATGCTCGCTTCGTGATTTCACATGCTCCTCAAGTCACCGAACTCATTTGTAGTAGGTTTCTTCCAGTGCTTCGGCCTCGCCTCGGAGTTCTTCGACCAGAAGCCGGAGCTGCCCCCCTGGCCTGCGCCGCATCGCTGTCCCGGAGGAGTGGCCATTTTTCCCATAGCTGCTTGAGTCTAGCTAGTTGCATATGGTGGAGACTTCCATCGTTGCCTCTGGTAGCATGCCTTGTTCTCAAAGTTCCGCGACTTCGGACTTGGGCAGTGATGCATTCCAGAGGTGCTGGGCAGCCAAGGCTATTGGCATCGCAGACGAGCTTATAGTGCTACTCTGTTGCCTTCAGCCTTACTGCCTGCTCAGTGTATCACTTTGACTTTGAGAGGGGGCACCTGCGGACCGGGGTAGATGCCAGGCCATGCATTTCAGCCAAGAGGTTCGACTATGCGTTGGCATGGCCTGGTGACCGAAGCACTTACAGATTCAACTCGCAAAGCCGCGACGACACCGCTGGATACCATGACCATCTTCGGCAGGCCTGGATTCGTTCCGTGTTGGGGGAACTTTGTGAACTCGATGGAAACATCCTCGCGACGTGGATCCATCATGCAGATGCTAGCACAGAAACGCGATTGCACCCTACTGTGGCGCCCGCAGCTGGGTCTCCGGAGATGGTGTTGCAGAAAGACACCTTTCTGGAGGATCAGCCTGGCCCCCCTTCAGATCCTAGAGAAGGTGTCATGTTTACAGCGATGAGCCGATCCTCCCGGCCCCCAAGATTTGTGGCAAAGCGCTCGGGTATACCGAAGGCTACGACCACGCTACTGTTGCAACGGATCCCCGAGACAGTTGTCGCTAGGGACCCCGGAAGCATGCAGAGAGGCAAGCACTGACGACATAGCAACCTCCAGACTCTAGATCGTGTTTCCCTCAGCTATGCTGA